TGCTCAGCAGCAGCAGTTTTCATGAATTTCCATCTATTCACGACGTCTTCGTTAGAAAAACGGTTGTTTGTTCCATAAATAGACAAACAAAATGGCGCGGCATTGTCGTTTAATGGTTTAGCCATTATAACATAACCATAGTTGGCTCTACTTTCAGAATTGAAATACTGTGCAATAGTTTTTGCAGAACTTGCTATGAATGCATTAGTCACTGGACAACCATTCATAAGGGGTAAAACAAAACCAACTACTTTATTTGATTTCACATCGTATTCAATTTTTCCCGTAATCTTAGTAGCATCTTCACTTATCCATACCTTAAGTGGTATATTCTTCTTGATTAGATAAACTCTTAGCTCATTAAATCTAAAAATGCCTTCTATCACTTAACTTTGAGTATTGTCAAGATAACGGAATATTGTTGATATTGATGGAAGAACTCGATCCATCTTTGCATGTAAAGTTTCATACAGCAATCTACCTCCAACAATAAATATATAAGTAGAAAATTTCTTTAACTCTTCATCAAATCTATTGTGGTGTTTATATTTATTTACTAGATTTTTGATTTTTTTCTGCACATTCGTATACGCATTTCAACAAAGAATTTGAATCAAGTATAGCTGACCGAACCAACAAAACATTATCCCCCTCGGTTCCCTTTATGTTGCGCACTAACATGTTACGCAAGTTTTCATTATTTTCCATTAATTTACTAACTTCGTAAAGAACAGGAATGTAATTTGTAATTAGTGTTTGCTTTAATTCTCCAGTAACTAATAATCGCTCTCTTCGTCGTTTTTCTCGTTCACTTCTTTGGTATTTTGTGCTCTTCCACTTATTTTCATTTGTATTTGACAATACTTGAGACGTTTGAAAATTTAAATCGCAAAAGTTATTCGTCTCAAACATAACTTTGCTATTCTGAAAATCCGACTGACAATTGAGGTCTTCTTGGTCCGTAGCATTATTTATTGTTTCTTTAAGGATTTCTGTACTTCGAGATGTTGAAGGTCCATGTATTTGTTGTGGTGTTATACCCTGTGTTATTTGAGGGGTTATTTGTTTATAATTATCAAGTATTTGTTTTTTTCTTATTTTATTAGGAACAGATTGAGTAGATTTCTTTTGATGTATTTTTATATGTGTAACAGTGGTAACACTGTTTGTCTGTTACTCGTTATCTTCTATTATGATATCGTTTTCATTTACGTTAAAAACATTATTCTAATATATTATTACAGTAGTGTTTAATTATTTTTTATATTAAATATTTATATTATATTATTTTAATTATTATATTAATGAATTATATTATATTAAACAGTCTTATACTAATAAGTTAAAAATATCGATTTTCTTTTATAGGTATGTATTGAGTAATAGTTTTATTGTATTATTATATTTATACTAATAAAAGATTTCTTTTATAGTTATTGAAAATCGATCGACTTATTATTATTATTATTATTCTATCAGAATAAAACAAAGTTACATATGTTTGTAATAATTTGAAAATGACCATCTTTTTGAATGTCCAGGGCTAAATACTTTGCATATATTAACTCGTACATTGCATTCAAAACATAAAACTTTAGCTACAATATCGTTATCATCATTTAGTATAGAAAGCGTTATGCCTAGTTCTTGGTTGTTGTAAATATCTATTGCGTTTATTTTAAGCCATTTATTTATCCTTTTTTCTACAATCGATCTTTCCCCTGACAAATCAACATTTAAAGTATCTAACTTTTGTTTTTTTGATACTATTATATCATCAGTAACATCTTCAATTTCTTTACTAACAATATTACGTAAAGATTGTTTTTTTGTTTAAGATTTACTATTAGTTTTTGGTGCTGTAGTCAGTTTAACTATTGACTTCTTTCGAAGTTGTTCTTTATAAAAATCAGAAATGCAAAGCAAGACTTTTTTGTATCCAGATAAAATCTTAAATTTTTTAATATTATTTTTGAAGATACCATAATATTCAGGATATTCGCCTTCGTCAATAAGATCTGGCAATATTTCTATTGCAAACTGTTTAGTATTTTCTATATCTTTATCATCAATTTTAGAAATAACAAATTTATTCGAAAATCCATTTGCAATAAATATCTTTTTAATTCCATCTGGCAAAAGTATTTGAAAGTATTGTTTAGCCTCTGCAAAAGGACAACCAGTGCATTTTTCTATGATTGGTTTCTTCTCGACATCCATTTCAAGCTCCATTCGAATATTTTAATTTAATTCCCACACTAACTATTTGATTGAATAAAATACAAAAGATAATTTAAAACCAATCTACTTAATAATTATATAATAATTTAATCAGTTAGCTCTTATTAAATCTAAATTTGTAAAAATATATAGGTGTTTTTAAATTATAAATATGTTAATATTTTTTCGTAAAATCTTAAAATATTATTAATAAACAGTATGATACATAAGAGGATACATATAACCATAAGACTTAAGTAAATTTAAATTTAAAATATAAAGCGCGCGTAGTTATCGTAAATGAAAACGTTTTTGAAAATTACGTTTATGGTAAATGTTTTTTAAAACCATAGTATTTATCCCTGTTTTTTTTATTTATCTCTGTATTTATAAATCGTTTGTGGTTAACATTTTTGAACATTTTGTTTTTGGTGGTGTATGAACGATCATAATATACCCTTATTTCATTTATTATTATATTATTACATGGATATCTATTATCTAGTAATTAAAAATGCAATATTGTAATTTTAGATTCTGAGCAGAGCAATGAATGTTTTGATTTTACAACGATGCGTATGTGTGTATTTTAAGGTTTTTTTTATGTCTATCCATCACCTTTTAAGGCAGTAAAAATGCCTCACTGAATGTATATGTTAGCGTTTTTTATATTTGATAAAAGTTTCAAAATAGTTTGATTTTTTTTGAGCTGGTTACGGACATTTTAATTTCCAATTTTTTTAGTTTTTTTTTTTTCATGAATGTCAATTAAATTTTATTTGTTGGGTCGAAACGATTGATAATATAATAGGGGGGCGTCTGATATATTATAATATTAGTAGTTGAAAAAGATTGAAAATACATAGGCACAATAATAGCAGAACTTATTTATAATGCAGTAATGCATCTGTTGCCGCCGCACATAGTACGTATTATATTTTATTATTTATATGTTGCCGCCACCGACCGATCCACACACTCACACACAAACACTCATATACGCTAGCTGTTATTTTTATATTTATTTTTGTTTTAATTATATTGTGTTTTGTGAATTATATAATATTATTTAAATTAATTATCGGCGCGTTATCTGCTGCCGCCGGCTCGCCGGTACGCGCAGATTAACGCGGCCGCCAAAAAAATTTGTCTTTCGTCGTACGCTGCATCGAACAGACCAACGGCCGTTTATATTATATTATATATATTAGTTTTTGAATTATAATATTTTGTTGCGCAAATCGCTTTTTTTCTAATATTATCTTATTATATTGCGTGGGCGCTAATCGCCATATTTTTATTATTATATTTATATTGTTCGCGAATCGCCATTAATTTGTTATAGTACTTCGTGTGCGCGAATCGCCACTTCTAGTATTTATTGTTAATTATATTATATTTTTATACTGTGTTCCTTCATGTTGTGTGTGTGAGCGTGATTATTTTTTATATAGTTAGGGAGCAGCTGGCCAGTCTACGCTCCACAAATTGTGAGTTTTTCTTTTTTATTGTTACCATTATTATTATTATTTATTTATTATACATTTATATTTATAAATTGAGCTCTAATAGCTATCCTTTTTAATATTATTTTTATATCTATATTATTATTATTATGTTCATATTATAGCTCTAATAGCTATTTCATATTATTACATATTATATTTATGTTGTGGCTCTAATAGCTACCTCTTGATATTCTTCTATATTGTTGGGCCAAAAGGGCCGTAGTTATATTATTATTATTGTTATTATTATATCATATATTTTTTCACCTATTGCATAAATTTGAGTTACCTTTATTTAGTTACCTATTCGTCCACTAGAATTAAGATTACACATATACACAAATACACACATACACACACCACCTACACACTAGCACTCACAGGATTTGCTCGGCGAACCTGTCCACTTCCTGTTGAGTGCTACACACATATACACACACATACACAGGTCGGTCGGTGTGTGACCGTATAATAGCGCATTAAATATTTGGCAACCGGGCACACGGCCTATTATTGTACGTACCCGGCCCATACAGCATCTATAGGTACATTTTTATAATATTTTTGTATTATTCGTATTTTTTTAATTTATAAATATACACAGCATGCTTTTATTCATACTGCAACTAAGTTGTAATGTAGAAATGTCTAAAAATAATAAACGTCATATAAGGCAACAACTGCTGCTTTGATAATCATGACAAGCTAGCGAGCAAGTGCAAATTTCAGAGTAATGTGTAATTTGTACCCAATAATGATTCAATCATGGTGTGTACTATTATTTAAATATTGTATAAAATAATAATACCTACTAGTTTAATTTAGAAATTAGCCTGGAAATTATTATTTTATCCTTTCTATTAGGTAGTTTTGGTAATAAAGGGCTGTTAATAGTACTTATAAAATGTAATGTCAGGAACGGAAATTTGAAATATTTCGAGTTCAAGAGTCAAATTCGATTATTTTCGTTATTTTTTTCTCGGTTTATGTCCCCATCACTAATTATTTTTATAAATATCTAAAGCAGCGGTTCCCAATTTGTGCGAAGCCACGGACCCCTAGCTATAACTTAAATTGGTCCGCGGACCCCTTTTTTGTAAATACTTACTTTTCAATTTTATTTTATTATGAAAATGAGAAATAAATTTATACGATTTATTTTCAATATGATTTAATTTTTAATTTTATAAACATTTTCTTAATATAATAGAAACAAATTTTGTCAAAAAAATATATATATATTTATAAAAAAAATTATTTGATTAAACACCTTCAAACTTTATGAGACAAGTGAAATCTTTCTTTTTTGTTCATAATTTCGTCTAAGTCCGGCTGCATGCTTGATATTTTAACTCTTAAATCAGCGTCAATATTAAGCTTATTACGATATTTGTTTTTCATGTAACAGTAGGTAGAAAAAGCTTGTTCACATCTATATGTTGTGCAAAAGGGGATCAAATGTCTTAAAGGTTTCTCAGCCAGTTGCTTTTGATCATTTTGAACAATTAACCAAAAATCAATTAGTTTTTTATCGTCGAAAATATTTTTCATCTCTCCATTAGTTACCAAATCAATTAATTCATCTTGTTCCTGTTCAGAGAGATTTTCTATTTTTTCAATATCACAGTGAAATGGATTTCTTATCCACGTATTATTTGGGTCAGGTTGATGAAAATATTTTCTTAATATTTTGGCCATGCTCAACAAGTGTTCAGATATTTCACTCTTTACCTCCTGTGATAGACATTCACGCGAAGATTCCAAAAAAGATTGTAATGTCGGAAAGTTACTGAAAGAGTTCTTTTCAACACGTATTGCCCAAATTTCAAACTTTTTTATAGTTGCTTCGATCTTATCCTCAACGTGAAAAACGTCAATATAAATTCCTTGTAAACTCAAATTTAGTGTATTTAAGTATTCAAACACATCAGCCAAGTAAGCTATCCGAGACAGCCAAGAAATATCAGTTAACAAGCCTACAAACCTGGTTTCGAGAAAAATTACTCGAATTTCGTCTCTTAGCTCAAAAAAACGCTGAAGAATTTTTCCACGTGAGAGCCATCGAATTTCAGTGTGCAAAATAAGCTGTACGTGGTCACTTCCCATGTCTTTGCAAAGGACTTTAAAAAGCCTTGATTGTAGAGGTCGTGATTTAATAAAGTTTATAATTTTCACTACTTCCTCTTAAGTTGTTTTCATGTGTTCTGATAGGCGTTTAGCAACCAATGCTTCCCTATGAATACAACAGTGAGTCCACTTTACTTGAGGTGCAACTTCTTTCATACGACCCAACAATCCAGTTTTGTAACCTGACATTGCTGCTGCACCATCAGTGGTTATTCCAACGCATTTTTCCCACCTTATGACATGATCTGTAAAAAAAACTGATCAATAGCTTCAAATATATCTTTTGCCGAAGTATGTAGGAGCTCGCATGAAAACAAAAAATCTTCAAATAACTGTTTTTCCCATATAAAACGAACAAAAACCAACATAGATGACTTACTTGCTATGTCAGTACTTTCATCTAGTTGCAATGCAAACTTGTCACTTGTAGATAGCCTTGTAAATAGTGTTTCTTCAATATTTGCAGACATATCAGTAATTCTTCTTTGAATAGTATTATTAGATAGGGGGACAGAACTAATCAACTTTGCTGCAGATTTACCTAACATTGTTTTGCACAGGACAATTGCAGCAGGAAGAATTAGTTCTTCAGCTATGGTATGAGCCTTACCAGATTTTGCAACAAGTTGAGCGACTTCATATGAAGCTAATGTGGCATTTTTATTACCACTTAAACTTGTCGAAGATTTCATCACTTTTTGTGATTTTTTAAATTCTCCTAACTTGACTACAAAAAAATCCAACGACTTTCTAGTAAATTCGCCATGTTTAGTCTCAAAATGGCGTCGTAGTTTGGAAGGTTTCATACTTTCATTGGACAAGATCTCCAAGCAAATAATACACTGTGGTTTTGGTTCATCTTCAGTTCCAGCAAATGTAAATCCTAATTGTAAATATTCAGTGTTATACTTTCTCACTTTAGTTCCTACGGTACTCTTCGAGTTTACATTACGGCGATTTGAGTCTGAACTACTATGTTGATCAGTACACTAAAATAAATTTATTATTGAAATATTATCAATAAAAATACAGATAAAGCGTAAAATTATAAAATATAATTTGCGCAATACATAATATGCACGCATTTAACGACAGATTAATAAGTAAAAAAGTTCTTTTGATAAATAAATGAATGAGTTATTTACCTGAACTTTATTCATATCATTCACAGTATTATCTTCTTCTATTTCACATATAGGCCTTTTAAGTGAACCAGATTTTAACCACTGATACATTATGGTTATTCGTTTAATTTTGAAATACAATGTATAAAAAAGGACACACGGCACTAATCGCTGACCAGTAATGACTGAGACTACTAATAATACTAATGTTGATTATTTACTTTAAATTATATGTCCGAAATATATTTTATTGGTTAATGGAAAGAAAATAATCAGTATGGTTTCACGTTCTGAATTATAGTAATAATAGTGTAATAGTAAAGATAATAATGATATTTATTTCTATGAAATTGCTTATCTATTTTTTTCGCGATAATCGAGTTTAAATAGTCCATAAATACTCGGAATTTCATATTACTAATAATTTCACTAAAATAAAATAAAAATATTACTACAAAACAACATAACCGCGGACTCCCTAAAACCAACACGCGGACCCCTGGGGGTCTGCGGACCACCAATTGGGAACCGCTGATCTAAAGAATGAATACATTCAAATAAACCATACATAGAATAGAATAACCAATTACCATAAAGTAAAATAAAGCAGTATATTAATAAAAAAAAAACAGGCAAAAAGTACTGAAAATAGACTTCGCAAAATCATTAAACATGTATTTTTTAGTTTCAAATAATAATCTTTATTTGAAATTTTATTTATTTTAAATTAAGGGTTGATTATTGTACTATACTGTTTTAAAATTAACTGTTTCAATCGAAATTTACTATACAACTACATCTAAAACCTACCTATTGTCTATTACATATATTTTATAATATAATTATATATTCTACTGAGGAATTATAGTTATTATTAAGGCTGGGATTTATATGTAATTAAAAACCAAAAGTATGTACATATATATGTACTTAAAATGGCCAAAATATGTAGTATAAAATAAAAAATATGTTAACGTGTAAAATTAAAATTAAATTCTAAATCATTTTTGAATATTATACAATAATTAATTGTTTTTAATTTCTAATCAATTTAATTTTTAAAAAAATATAATATATAATGATATTTTCACAACCACGTGAACGCAAGTACTGTCAATGTTGAAAATTCGTAAATATATTTTGTCTAATAATAAATTGTTGAATATAAAGTATAATATAAGATCATAAATGTATAGTTGTCAAACAGAAACATATAAGATAAACTCTAATCAAGTTATTAATATTTAACTAATACTTTCATACACTTATTTCCTATATGCATTATACACTTACAATTTTTACAAGTATTATTATCGAAGCATAAATGATTTACTACTAAACCGTCTAAACCACCGAAATTTTCAAAATTTACGAAAAATGTAAAAAAAAAAGCAGACATTTTACAAATAATTTTAAAATATGTATTTATGACAAAATATGTAAGATAAAATATGCTTTATTTTATTGCAAATCACGTGAAATGAATTTATCGTTGGCTATATTTATCATGTTTTAGTAAAAAAAATGTATTTACACACAAATCCCAGCGCTATTTATTATATTTTATTTAAAACCTAATGTTTAGTAAATAAAGCTTTAAAACTTTTTTTTTTTATTAACAAAATAACACTTACAATCTGTACATAATAAAATACAATAAGCAAATATGTTTATAATTATAATAGCGACTTTGGATACATGAAAAGGGAAGCTATCCAGTGACCCTTTTGAGTTGAGACGTTTAGGACATGGAGTGGTGTTTCAATTTAGGAGGTCGCGACATCAACGTCTTTTGAGGTGACGAGGGGGGTTACCTGGAATTGTGGCTGAGTGTAGATTTGCAATTAGAGGATTTGGATGATGACGTAATTTGGAATGAAACTTTTTGTAGTGGGTTTTAACTAAGTTCTCAACTGTTTCAATGTTTAAGTCTTTATGGAGGGTGTGGTTAGAAACAAACCAAGGAGCTGAAGTTATTATGCGGAGGGAAATGGACTGAAATGCTGCGATTGTTTTAATTTGGGTTGGTTTTGCATAATTCCATATTTGGGCTCCATAAGACCAAATTGGTCTTAGCAATGATTTGTAAATTTTTATTTTATTATGGATTGGGAGTTTGGATTTTAACATAGGACGTAGTAAGTGAGATCTTGAATTGAGAGACTTTCTTTTGGATTTAAGGTGAGGACCACAGGTTAGTCTTTTGTCTAAAACTATTCCTAGGTATTTTACTTGAGTCAAGGAGGGGATGGGAACTCCCTGAAATAAGATAATAGGTGTGTTTTTTTATTGAGGGTAAAAGAGACAAGAACGGATTTATCATCATTGATTTTAATTTGTCAGTCACTAAGACGTATACGATTAAATAATGTAAACGAATACGTCAGAAACACTCTAAACGACAATAAACATGCGATTTACGGTTTCGTGACACGCGAATCGTAGAAATTGTATCGGTTAAATGACGTATAATGTAGTATTCGTTGCATCTCTAAAACGGTTTAAGTGCTCGAAATTCGATTACAGATTTCAACTCAAACGGTAGTCGATAGGTGTTAGGATAGGTCCCCCGACGTTAGGTAGGCAGGTTCGAAATCCGTTCCGGCGAAATTCGGGCGGCATCATAATACACTGCACATATCGGATTTTTTGCATTTTTTTTCTCATTTAATTCGAACATTATTAATTGCTGTTTTCGTTTTGATATCCTGTCTTACAATATTACTCATCAAATATTTTTTAAATTTTAAAAATGATTTTTGATCTCACACATTTAATTTTATATTGCTTGATTGATGATGTCAAAATATATTATATTACAATATACTTAACACGAACATTAAATTACACAATAGAATTCGATTAAACCAATTATAGTTATTGCTAACAGTCTGCACAATTCAAATGTACATATTATGTGATATGCAATTTATATTATAGCCTGAGAACATTCTATTGATGACAATACAGTTGTTTCACTCAGTTTTGACCGTGAATTCATTATTTCATACGTTTAGTCATTCAGTTGTTTACATTTGAAAGGTACAGGGGAAAAACGGTAGTAGTACATTTTTTTTTTTTTTGATTTTTAAATATTTTGTCATCACAGAAAGTGCATAATATTTCTTTTCGATATCTAACTATCTATAAAATATCAAAAAAAAAAATGTATTAATTATGTATAGTTTTTTGATCTTCAACTCGCTAACGTTTGATATGCATTTTCCATAATACGTTTAACATCTTCCCTTTACGCCCACATCACCTACCTGGGAGGTTTAAACGCGTTTAACTGGATTTTCAATGGTGGTCGCTTGAGAAATCGAGCGCTCGATTCGACTTAAACTTTTTTGCGTATTAAACAGCACAACTTCTTCGACGTCAGGAGGTATGACAATCCGCCGCAGGTGGATTGCCTTGTCAGGAATCGATATTCACTGGACGATGACTGATAACTAGACACTTAATTACCATTTCGGAGTGTATTTATTTATTTTCCATATTCAAAAGCACTGGGCGAGCTACGGGAAATGCATCCAATTGCCCAGTCAGGTATCGACATTCATCATACCGGGCGATGACTGATAGCTAGACATTTAATTACTATTTCGGAATGTATTTATTTATTTTCCATGCACAAAAGCACATGGTAAGCTACGGAACAAGGTGAATTACACCTGTAAATTTTATGAAATGTCCCACCACTAAACGTTCGAATTGGACTTTTATATACTTTTATTATATTATAAAATTATTATTTACGCGTTTAAAACTTAAAACGACACTGCCAAAGTGTAAAACCAAGAGGTATCAACGTCAGAGGTACCAACGTCTCAAACATCGTTATCACTGGTTTTGCCTACTAGACTTTTCTGACTACGGTAAAATAATGTCTCTGACCTAGGAAATTCACTTCAAACGATTTTCAGCTACCTAGGGTATTCACATACAGCGAGTTTCACCGGTGCTAATCAAATAAATAAAGTCATAATTCCCAAAGCATAAAGTACATATTGTAGGCAACTAAAAGGAAAAGGTTAAATAAAAGGAAAACATAATTTGCCTCTTTTTATATTTTATTTAAAAAAAACACTATGTTACATCGCATACGTCTACACACATCGCAGTGTGGCGGAGAACTGACTACGGCCGACGGGCGACGACAGTAAAAACATATAATAATAATTATTGACAAAAGACAAATATATAAATAGCAAAATATTACCCGTCGTCGGGTCGCCTCACACACACACGCCGTACACACTATAATATATTATATAATATAAAAGTGGATGTGGGATCGCTCGGTCGTCGGTGCGATAAGCCCGCGACGATTACCGAATAGCGTCCCACAGCCATGTATAGAAAATAATTAAATACAAATAATATAAATCATACAATATATTACTTAAACTGAAAAAGAATGCATGTATTATTATTGTACCTCAAAAATGACATGGATGAATGAGGTATTTTTTTCAAGTGTAGAAGGTAGAATGTAAAAATATTTATAGGTAATAAATTATTATATAATATGCTTTAATAAGCATTTTATAATAATTTTTTAATTTTGATTTTGAATATTAAGTGAAATATTTTGTAACATTAAAGGTAGGTATTTTATTCACAAGTATTAATATTAATAGGAAAAAGTTATACATACAATCTAGGTAAATATTAAAAATACCTAGCTAAAAATTTTTTTTCATAAAATATTAATTTGTTATAAATTATGTTTAGTGTCAACATTCATCCATTTAACTATTTAGATTAGAAATACTTTATCACTACAACATACTGACAAAGTGACAACGAGTTCGTACATAAAATAATAAAATAATAAAAATTAAAAACTTAAATTATTCGAACGCGGAACAATTGCCACCTAAAAAGCTTTTGCTGGAATTCTACAAATGTGACGAATAGATAAGATAAAGTCCCAGAAAACTCCCCCCTCCTACGTCCGGAGAGACCAGACCGTGAGTTCGTGTCGGCCGACAAGCTTGACATTTTTATTTAAAAGTTTTGTCTTTTTCCAACGGTCGAACGACACGCAACGT